TATATCTATTTATCTCTTCCAAGGCACTCAGGTTAGCGAAGGTCATGATGTGTAAGAGGACCCCTGGAAGACATTTTGCTCACTGATGAGATAAACAGTGAGAATCGTAGCCAAGGAGGGGGTATGGTTTCATTACCGAAACTCAGATAACCTGAATTTCCTCTATGTGCCTGGTGAAGATCCATATGGTTGTAAACCAGAAGGAGAGTGATAGTTGTTGGCATTTTGGCTGTGGGTGATAGACTAAAATTTACAGGAAGCCAGGCTTGGAGGCCCATGCCTGTCCTCCTAGCACACAGGATATTGAGGCCAACTTGGACTACAAAGCAAGATTCTGCCACAAAATTAAAATATGTGAGTGTTGAAATGTCTGTGTATACTCTATGATGAAGATATAAAGTAAGTTGAGTGAGGAAGTGGTGAAGGGAAGTGAAAGGCAGGAAAAGTTGTCTTTGTATGGAAATATGTGATTTCCAGACAAGAGGATGAGAAGTCTCACCATGGCTAGAAGTGTTGCATTGCAGATGGGAGGGTTAGCATGTGTCAAGACCCTAGAATGGAGGCAAAGAAGAGCATCATGGGTGGGAATAATGCATGATGGGAGACTGTTTGGAGTGAATGGGTGGTCTAGGTGATCTGGGGCCAGTCGGTGGAAGTCCTGCTAGGATTTGGAGTCTACTGACTGTGATGGGAAGACTGAGGACAGTAGTGCATAGCCAAAAGAGACCCTGGAGCAGAAACCACATTGTCATATTTTTGGGTTGAATTTTAAGGCTGTTGAGGTGGCTCATTGGGTAAAGGCACTTGTCTCCAAGCATAAGTTGGATTCTGAGTCCCCCATGGCAGCAGGAGAGAACATTCCTGAGAGTTGTTCTCTGGATTACACAATATGAGTGAGCTACACACACACACACACACACACACACACACACACACACCCCATACTAGGTTTAAAAATTATCTTGATTAAAATATTATGTATTATTACTTTATTAAAGCTAAAACATATTTGTGAGTCCTTGAAAATATCACAGGTCCTTGATCTTCCCCATGCCCAATGGGACCAGTCCATGGTTGAAGTGACTCTGTATCATTGCACATGTGAATGGTATGTGCTATTTTCGTCAAGACTCCAGACCTGCCCTAGCTAGTGTACAATGTCTCCCTTCTGTTTTCAGCTGCTTCAAGCCCTCAGGAAGGTACACTTCAAGACTCCTGATGGAAATGAAATTATATTTGATGCTAATGGAGATTTGGTGACAAAATTTGACATTCTCCAAGGGCAGAAGACCCCTGAGGGTGTATTTCACTTGGTCCATGTAGGCATGATAGACCCTCAAGTCTCTTTGGGGAACAAAATGAAGTTCCATTTGATGGAGGATCTTCATGTGAGTTGCCTGAATGCAGAGATGACTCTTGTCTGAGTCTGTTAAAATCACAGGGAAAATCCAAGTCCAGGATTCCTCATCTCCATTTTTGAAGTAGATGAAGTAGATGTAGCCGTAGATTGCGACACTCAGGGATAGCTGGCTATGCTGTTCACCTACTAAGGGATCTTTCTCTGGATGATCTTGATTCACAAACAAAAATGAAAATATAAAAGCTGGTATTGGGAGATGGCTCAGTGGTTAAAGTATTTGTATGCAGGTACAAGACCCAAACTTTGGATCTCCAGAACACTGTACACAATGAGTGGGCAGTGTGGCTCACCTGTAATTTCAGTCTTGGAAGGTGGAGACAAGGAGATGCATAAAGCAAACTTGCTAGTAAGACGAGCCATATCAGTGAAGTCTGGGTTTTACTTTGAGCCTCTGCCTTAATGAACATAGTGGAAAAGAAGTTAAGGATGAATCCTGACTTTAACCTTGGTCTTCCACACATACTTGTCATTTAAGAACATGAACCCACCTGGATGTACAAGTGCACATACAAATATTTACACCATATACACATATAAAATAAGGTTGGGGAGAACATAAAAGACATACAAAATAGAATGAGTATCTGCAGCTGGTGCTCCTTTGGAAGTATTTTTAGTGTCTGTGTTTAGGACCTGCTCTGAGAAGAGGAAGACAGTGACACATTAATTTAAGATCTTCCCATGGTCCATCTGGGACATGGGCTCAACAGACACTCAGTGTACTTGTTGTGTTAATATTTTTTCACCCACTAAGACAAATACCTGAGACACAGTTTGAAGTGAGGAAAAGTTTTAATTGTCTCCTGGTTTGAGAGCTCCAAGTTCAGATGTATCCATTGCTTGTGTGTGTGTGTGTGTGTGTGTGTATGTGTGTGTGTGTGTGTGTGTGTGTGTGTTTGAGGCAGTACGTCATGCATGGCAGCAGGCATGTGTGGTGGAAGAGGTTGCTCAGTTCATGGGGCACAGGTAGGGAAGGTAGAGAGCCAGATAGATTAGATAGGTAAACAAGTTACATCTTACCAGTGCATAGCCCCAGTTTCCCATTACCCCCAACTAGATCCCATGTTCTATCTCCAATGTGTAGAATAATTAGTCAGTTTATTAATCCACTGAGGAATTAATCCATTGATTATGTCAGAGGCATTGTCTTGCTTAGGGTTTCTATTGCTGTGAGGAGACATCATGACCACTGTATCTCTCATTAAGTAAAAGCATTTAATGAGGTGGCTTACATTTTCCCAGGTTTATTTGGTCCATTATCATCCTATGGGACATGGTGGCATTCATGCAGAACTGGTGCTGGAGAAGGAGCCAAGAGTCCTACGTCTTGACCTGTAGGCAACAGGAAGTGAACTGGGTCACTGGGTGTGGCTTGAGCATAGATGAGACCTTGAAGTCCATCTCTAGTGTCACACTTCCTCCAACAAGGCCACACCTACTCCAACAAAGCCACATCTCCTAATAGTGCTACTTCCTATGAGCTTATGGAGGCCTATTATGTTCAGACCACCAAATTTCACTACTTACCACTCTATGCTTGTAAAATTATCATAATGCAAGTACATTGAGTCTAATTTCCAAGTTCTCACTGTCTATCATAGTTGAAACAATGTTTAATTGTCCAAAGTTCAGAGTCTCTTCTGAGATTCATGTAGTCTCTTAACTGTAATCCCCTATAAAATCAAAGTCAAAAAACAGATCACACTCTTCCAACATATAATGGCACAGGATGTACATTATTGCTCCAAATGTATAAAATGTATCATAGTGGGAAAATAGTGGACCAAAGCAGGACAGATGACCAGGTGGGAAAACTCTAAACTCTGCATGTTTATGTCAGTTGTTAATATGTTCCTCAAACTCCAACTCCTTTCATCTATGTTAACTGCAACACGCTTCTCATTCTTTTGCTGGTTCCACTCCCTGTTAGTAGCTCTCAACAGCAGGTGTTCCACGGCTCTGGCATTTCCAAAATCTTGGGGACTTCAAGGCAATTCAGGCTTTATCTTCAAAGCTTCATGCAATGGCCTCTTTAGGCCTCCATTCAGGGACTCCCAGGACACATGTCTTGCCTCAGCAGCTTTCCATAGTCTCAGAGGCAATTTCCATAACCCTTTTCTTCTAGCCTAAGAGCCAGAACCACATAGCCAAACTGCCAAGTTCTGTTGCTTACTGGGACTAGAACATGGCCCTCTCATTCAATTACATCTTTATCAGCTTTCTGTTTTTGATGGTTTCCTTCACTGCTTAACTTAGGCTGTCCTGAAACTGGACCTGTAGACTAGGCTGGCCTCAAAGTCAGAGATCCACCTGCATCTGCCTTCTGATTTCTAGGACTAAAGGTGTGCACCACATACCCAACTTTAAGTTTTTCTCTAATTCCTTTTCACAAGTTGGAAATTTAGCTGAGAGGGATCTTGCACTGTGGTCACCAATCCCTTTATTCCATTTCTTAATCTGTTTATCAGCTTGAACACAGGTCTTAGCTCCATTCTAGGTCCTGGTGTTCCTTTTCTCCTCAAACTTTACATTTTGTATTTTTCCTTGCTCTGTTTGTTGCTTTTCATTATAAGTCTTTCTTAGAGTTAACACTAACAACCACACAACACAGTCTATATTCAGCTGTATTGAAATTTTTTTTGCCTATGAAATTAATCCAACATACTTCACTTTAGCCTCAGGCAGGCTCTTTGGACAAAAGCAAAAAAAAAACACACTCTTCAACTAATTATCACAAGAACAATCTCTAGGCCACACATTAGTATTCTTCTCTTCTGAAACTTCTTGAGCAATGCCCATTGTTCATCTAATCGCACTTTGCACCTCGGTCTCTATGCTCCTACCAGAATGGCCCAGTAAGCACCACTTAAAACTTTCTACTGCTTTTCTAAATGACTTTCTCATGGTCCATATTTATTCAAACAATAACACGATCAGGCCTATCACTTCAATAACCCAGTCCCATTAATCAATTTCTGTCTTAGGCTTTATCTTGTTGTGAAGAGACACCATGACCATGACATCTCTTATAAAGGAAAAACATTTAATTTGGGTGGCTTACATTTTCAGAGGTTTAATCCATTACCATCTTTGTGCAGCAGGCAGACATGGTGCTGGAGAAGTAGCTGAAAGTCCTACATCTTGACCTACTGGCAACAGGAAGTGAACTGGGTCACTGGGCATGGTCTAGCATATATAATACCCTAAAGGCCCCCCTCCCCCATGATGACACACTTCCTCCAACAAGGCTACCCCTACTCCAAAAAGCCACATCTCCTGATAGTGCCACTCCTTATGAGTTTATGGGGCCCAATTACATTCAAACCACCACAGGCATCAAGATCCAATCATTCTTTAAATATCCACTGTCAGGTAACCAGGGGTCCACACAGGAGACTTTGGGAAACATTTGAGGTCAAGCCCTGACATTTACTATCACAATTAGAAGCAGTGTTGAGATAGTTATGTCTATGTGTGGAGTGTGGGGCATAGAAATGCCTCAGCTGCCTAATACCAGTGTACATAGAGTTCTCTCCTCTACAACTTTATCTAACGTTGTTCTGGTGGCATCTCCAGTCCATGGTGGCCTTAAGGCTTTCCACATGAGAATGAGATTCCATTTGTTAGATTGTTCAAGCATGAAGACACATGCTATGTCTTCCAAGGACTTCTTTGAAGAGCCTTTCAATGGCCTTGATCATGGGAGGGTTTTCTGCTGTCTCCTGTTGTGGCAGCGATGTCAGCATGCCACACTTCCATCTTCATAATCCTTGCCTGGAGGTTGAGCTCTGCTAAGAAAAACTGAGTCATCTTTGGCAGGTCTGAGGTAAAGGAGAGGATGATTAAGTGTGGTGTGAAAATGTTTGTGTGTGTGTGTGTGTGTGTGTGTGTGTGTGTGTGTGTGTGTGTGTGTTGACGGAGTCAGTACTTAAATTTTTTTCTCTTATTGAAGGTGGATGATACTTTACTATTAGAGTAAGTGAAAAATAGCATTGCAGTCAAACTGCAGGTCTTAACAGCTTCACAGAGGGAGATGGAGAAAAGTAGAGAGTCCATCATGTCTTCTGAGTTAGACATGGAGTGCATCAAGCAGCTCCAAGGCTGTGGAGAGCTTCAGAGAAAGAAATTGAAAGCCATGAGCATCAAGGAAATCATGACTGGGCTGTGGACTTTTGTAATGGCTGCCAATACTTAAAATCCTTTTCAAAGATTTTTTTTGCATATATGGATGTTTCCCTGCATGTATTTTTGTGTACTGTTGTGTGTGCCTGGTGTCTGTTCAGGTCATAAGAGGACACTGGATCCTCTAGAACTGGAGTTACAGTGTGAATTGATATATGGGGGCTTGGAATTAACCCTGCTCTTCTTGAAGAGCAGCCTGCACTTTTAACCACTGAGCCTTCTCTTTGGTCCCAATACCTTTAATTGTTGATATAGGAGTCCCAGAGAGACTGGAAAGACAACATACCAAACTGTTTAGCCATGTTTTCGAATCCCTTAGTCAAGTAAGCCAGATGTAGTCATTCCTATATAACACTCAAAGGTACCTCTTCAGTCTGGCATCTGATGGGATAGACATGTTTTTTCTGACAGTCATCTATCTCATCTAGAGTTCTGTGAGGCAACTCTTCTGTTCTGGTTCTCAGGCTGAGGTCAAGCATCTGTATTCCTGGAGTCCCTGGTGACACTGTGCTCACTGTTACTAGGTGCCCAGCTCTGTCTGCAGTGAAAGCTGCCTTCCAGGGTTCAGCCAAGTGCCCAGGCTGGGAGCCCCCTACTGCTGTTTTGATTGCCGTCCCTGCCCTGAGGGACAGTTTGCAGACCAAAGAGGTAAGGGCATGTGGAGCTGGAATCTGGGGAGGGGTCAAGAGGGCACTGTGAGCCTCCTGTATTTGTCCATTGTCTTTGTTACTGTTCTAGGGCTATGAAGAGACACCATGACCAAGGCAGCTTCTAAAAGAAAAGCAATTAACTGGGGGCTTATTTAGAGTTTTAAAGTGCAAGCCCATAACTATCATGGCTGGAAGCTTGGCATTAGGCATGCAGGCATGGCACTTCATTAGTAGTTGAGAGATTACATTATGATTCACAGGCAGCAGGCAGGCAGGCAGAGAGGTGGAGAGTGGGCGTGGGGAGTTTTATCTTTCAAAGGCCACCCCCCTCTGACACTCCTCATCCAACAAAGCTACACCTCTAAATCCATCCCCCCAAATCCAACAATTATCAAGCAAACATTCAAATATATGAGCCTGTGAGGGTCATTTTCAGTTAATCCACCGCATCTATCTACTGAGATACTGTACAGACTTTTCTTTCCTGTGGAACGTCAGCGAGAACTCTACTCCTATAGTTGTTCTTAGTTAAATGCTTTGTCCAGACAGATAAGAGTATGAACCGTCATTGGACTGCATAATGGTTTCTCCTCTAGCAAACACTACATATCTTTGGTCCCCAAACAAGAAACAGGCATAGTCTACTTCCACAAGCTTCTATTGGTTCTGTAATGGAGCCCTGGCTTTTGCTCACACTGATGAATTTCATTTGCTTTTTAAACCTCTTGTAAGTGGAATTGCATGGTAGATGTTCTTTTGTGATTTCTTTACTCCTCTGTATTAGTGGGGTTCATTCCAGAGGTTGAATGGCAGGAGACCACCACATCCCATACAGTTTGAGCTGCAGAACTCATTTCTTCACCATTCTGAAAGCTTGAAATGCAAAGCAAAGTTATCATCAGGGTTGGTGTTTTGTGTGGCCTCACTCTTGCCCTGACACAGTCATCCCCTTACTGTGTGCTCTCATTTCATCGTGTGAATGTGTGTGTGTGTGTGTGTGTGTGTGTGTGTGTGTGTGTGTGTGTGTGTGTGTGTGTGTGTGTTGTATCCTCTTGGTTTTGGTGTGTGGTTTGATTTTGAGACACTGTCTCACCCACAGCCCTGGCTGGCTTGTCACTCCTCATGTTGACCAGTCTGTCCCCAAACTGATAGAAATCTACCTCCCACTGCCCCTCAAGTACTGAGATTGAAGTCATTCCAGACACACCCAGCCCCAATTCCCTCTTCTTAACAGGATAGCAGCCCTGTTGGAATTAGGGACTAATTCTAACCTGGGGACACCGTTTAAACTTTATTACATCAGCTCCAGTTTACTTATGGCAAAGTATGTCCCATTTTGAGGTGCTTAGAGACAGGACCTGAAGAAATGAATTTTTAGGGCTCAGCTCAGTGCTAAACCTTTTTAATTTGACCAGTTACTGATACTATTGGAAAGAAATGAACCATTAAAAACTCACAGAAGAGACAGGTTGTAGTGGCACATTCCTCTAATCTCAGACTCAGGAGGCAGAGACAGGAGGGATTTTGGGGTTTGATCTGCCAGTATAGTCAACTCAGTGATGTCCAGGTTCAGTGAGAGATCCTGTCTTAAAACCTAAGGTGAAAAGGGGGCTGAGGAGGTGCCTCAATAGTTAGGAACACCCCCACGGTGGTTCACGACCACGTGTACCTCCAGTTTCAGGGAAACTGATGGCAAATTCTGAGTTCTGCAGGCACCAGGCAGGCACATGATTTCCCTATATAGGTATAGACAAAACAGTCAACAAATAAAATAAAATAAGGAATTATAAAATAATAAGCTTCAGAGTCTGGTTAAATGGTTCATCAGTTAAAGTATTCACTGTCAACCCTGACAGTGTAAGTTCAGTACCTGGGACCCACATGGAAGAAGGTGAGCTCCAAATTCCTGACAGTTGTACTGACCTCCACTTGCACACCTTGGCATGTCTGAGCCCATGCAAACATACACACAAACAATAAACAACTAAGTTTGATTAGAAAAATAAGGAAGGGGAAGTGGTTGAGCAATAATATCTGATGATAATGTCTGGTCTTGACAAGTATGTGCATCCACTTACATACATGTGTGCACACTCAAACCTGCACATACACAAACTCACACAATTTAGTTATAGTGGTACATGCCTCTAATCACAGCACTGGAGCGGACATGGAAGAAGGCTTAGGAGTTCAAGGTCATCCTCTGTAACTCAACAAGTTCAAGGCCAGCCTGAGTTACATGAGACACTGTTTGAAGACAGAAACAAGACTCCTCACATAAAACAGATACTGTGATTTTTTTCCTCTGTATCTCTGCCTCTAATATCAGCCATCTGCCTCATCACCAGAAATAACTTATAAATACATGACTTGATGGAAAGGCTAGAAGAGCAGTTAGTGCTTGGGAGCTTCAGAGCTGGTGCAGTTCATATAGTGTTGTAGAAATGATGTCTGTCACTTTGCACAGCTTTGGCACAGGGAGGAGGG